CCTGATGTGTTTAAAAATATAAGAGTTTACCATAAACCTAACATGGGAAAAAGGGTACACAGGATAGAAAATAACAAAGAGCTAATGTGTCTGCATCCTTGCAGCTAAAGGGTAAAGCGGGAAGAGACGGAATGGCGTCTCCTTCTCTAGTCAGAACAAAGAGAGGAAAGCGAAGCCAATAGGCTAAATACGCGACACCTCGGTTTCCAATAAGACTAGCAGACTAGCTCCAAAGTTCCCGGGCATCCTGTTGTCTAAACAGATTGGTTACAAACAAACATGTGACTTCCTGTGAGTAACAGAAACAGACATTTAACCCCAGATATGCTGAGTGTTTTCAACTTGTAACACCCAACAAGACCCCCCCCCAATCCACCTGCAGGAGAACCTCCTCAAAGACGCCCTGTGCTGCTCCCCTCCGCCCGCCCGGTCGGGGCCAGTCTCCCACTGCTTGCCTCTGGGGGCTTTCCTGGCCCGAGAGAGGCTTTCTCCCCAGGCCTCGGTGAATGGGGCCTTAAAGCGCTTCCACGCATGGGGGGGGGGGGGTTACTCTCCCGGTTTCTCCTGTGGACTTCCCTTCGACCAGTCCCCTCATTTTTGTGAAATCCCTTCTTTTGAAACCAAGTCTGGTTGCGTCTCGGACTTTGGGGGCGACCCCCCCCCCATTGACATGAACGCGTCGCTGAACCGAAGAGGCCTGTGCTCGCTCCTCCCCCCCACCCCAGGCCACCCAAGTCTGCACCCAGCCCTCAGGACCAAGTCCCGTGCCAGGCTGCCCGCCCCTCTGGTTGGCTCCGTGACCAGCTGTCCCCAGGGGCCCGTCCTTTAGGGTGGCCGGGAGACTCGCTCCCACTGACCACTCTGGGGCTGGAGCCGAGCAAGAGTCCCTCTGGGGCCGGGCCTGCTGACCGGAGCCCTCCAGCTGTGCCCAGCCAGGAAGGGGGACCCGCCTCTTGTTGCTAGAGTTTCCTGCCCGCAGCAGGGACTGGCACACATGATTTCCTTGACTCAACGTCTGGCTGCTGCACTCTGCTTAGCTATTTGACGCTGCGGGAGCGATCTGGGCACCCATAACCTTTGTTGGGTGATAGTGAGATATTGAAAAAAAATGGTATTTAGTAGAGCTAATATAGTCTAGCAGAGTCAGAGTAAAATAATTCAGACTGAGAGTCCATGTGTGATTAAAAAAATAATATATAAAGTGTTTACTAAATTCTAGCATGGGGAAGGGTAACTGGGATGAAAATAACAACGGAGCTAAATCGGCTACATCCTTACACTACAAAGACAAAACTAGAAGAGAGTAATTATGGCTACTCTTACTTCTTCTTGAGAACAGCAAACAAAGACGGGAAGAGGAGCCATAAAATGCTAAAACACTTTGACACTTTCGCCCCAATCAAACTCCTAGATCAGGGAGAAAATTCCCGGGCTTCTTACAGCTAAAGAACATTGGTTACATGAGAAACATGTGACTTCCTGTGAGTAACATAAACAAACATTTAACCCCAGATGTACTGAGTGCTTTCAACTTGTGATACTCAACGATTAGACACTGTCCCAGAGATGAGTACGCAAAGGGGGGGGGGAGCAAGCAAGGCCACCCCCACCCCCAGCACCCTCTTGGCCGGCCCTCTGCTTCATGGACACCGATCCTGCCCAGTCCCCTGCCTGACCGGCCCAACCAGGACTGGAGTGCTTCAGGGCCAGGGTACCTCGGGGCCGAGCTCCTCCCCGAGTCCAGGACAGGAGCCCCCTTCCGGAGGGGGGCCACGGGAGCCCACACGCCCCAGCGGCTACTTCCGAATAGGTGGCCCGCCCCCATCGCAAGAGCCGGGGCCAGCCTGGGTGGCGAGCGAGCTCCCTCGGGCCCCTTGGGCTGGTGGTGCACCCCCCCAGGACACCCACCCTGCCCCCAGATCTGAATGACCCACAGGAGGGCGGAGGGGGGCCGGTCGGCCGCTCCAGGTCTCAGTCGGCTTTCCACGCAGGGGCGTCGCGTCCTTCTCACACAGCCGGGCTGCGCTCGGCTCTCCCCCGTCCCGTCCCGTCCCGTCCCGGCGAGCGCTCCACTTGGCATTGGCAAGCCCCTGCTTCAGCGGCGGGCCGTTGCACCAGCCCCCCCCCGCCCCCGCCCCCCGTGCTCCAAAGACGGCCTCTGGGCCAGTGCGCCTCGAAGCCGCCCCCGGCAACGTCGCTGAGGAGCGCTGCTCAGTTGTCCTCAGGCAGGCAGGCAGGCAGGCAGGCACTGATGAGGAACCCCGGCGCCGAACTGGCCTGCGGACACCGGGGGGGGAGGGCCGAACCCAACAGCCCCGGTGAGCCGCTCGCCTCTGATCCTCCGCCTAAGCAGCGAGATTCGACGGCTGTTCCCCGCAACGCCTGCCGCTTCCCCAGCTGCCCTCCCGGGACCAAGAGAAGGCGCCGTCTCTGAAGGAGGCTCGGGGGGGGGGGGCGCACACGCACACACACACACCCGTCGCCTGCCCCTGCCCCCTCCCCCTGGCTGCAGGCCCACCACAAGTCATGCCGGGGCGCCTTCCTGTGACCAGCAGTCTCCAGCCATCGCCTGATGACTTCCAAGGGCTGGGGGGTGGGGTGAGTCAGAGTCAGCGGGAAGACACGCAGGCCCAGGGGGGAAGCCCGGCCGCGCCGCTCCCCACCCCCCACCGCTCACGTCCTCTTTGGGGTTCCAGGCTTCAGCGCTCCCGCCAAGGACTCTGCTCGGCAGGAGCCCGTCTGTTTGGTGCCTGGTGGGGCTCCAGACTGACCCCCCCCCGCCCCCACCCAGTTAGTCAGTCCCCGATCATCAGCATCAAGCCCAAGGTGCAGACAGAGGGACGATCTGGCCTCCGAAAAGGCCTGCCT